TATAAAATATTTCAAGATACATTTTTTTTTCCCATGAAGACGCAGTTTCATATAGCCGGGCGTGGTGGTGCATGGTGCATGCCTTTAATCCCAGCACTCAGAAGGCAGAAGCAGGCAGATCTCTGAGTTCAAGGCCAGCCTGGTCTACAAAGTGAGTTTCAGGACACACAGAGAAACCTTCTTTCTCTCTCTCTGTCTCTGTCTCTGTCTCTGTCTCTGTCTCTCTCTCTCTCTCTGCCTCTCTCTCTCCCAAAAAAAGCAAGACACCGTTTTATGTTTACCCTCAGTGAGGACATATACCTTTAAACCCACCCATCAAGCTTCCTGAGAAATTTTCACCTTAGGGTACCACCATTTTCCATCACTGGCTTTAGATAAATTCATACATAGATTTACAATGTCTTCATCCTTCATCACCCATCATATCCACTTCCACCAGTATCTTACTTCTTTCTAGGCCTTTAAGGCAAACAGACATGATTCATGCTATCACCAAAATATTAAAACATCCTGCATGCCACCCTCACCCCCTCCAAAAAAGAGTGTCTCACAGTATTTTGCCACAAAGCAAATGCTGTAATTTAAACTGCAGACATCGAACTCTCAAGGAAAGAATATGGGAAAGGAGCCGCTTGAGGGCAACTTAGCTCTTAAGACACCCTTTCATATTAAATATCAAATAATAGAAGTATACCTTTGTGTCTGAAGATTCAAGTCAAAAACATGTAAAGGCAAATCAACTGTTTCCAGCTGTAAGCGGCGATAATGCCCCAAGTAACGTGAGAGCATCAGAAGACTGATCGGTTTCCTTTTGAGGTTACATGATAAGGAGCAGTTAAAGCAGCCTCTGTCTCTAGAACTCGCCGACTGACCTCGGTGGCAGAAAGTGGCCAGTCCTCTAGCCTCCTTTATAGTGCCGGCTTTCTTCTTGCCAGCTAAGTGTGCAGAGGGGGCGGGGAAGCCCAGCACTCCTAAAATACACCCTATGCTCATCCTCGGCTTCGATCGGGGGTGCGTGGGCACCGAGAAGGGCCAGAGGAGGCGAGGGGGCCAGCGAGGACTAAATTGTGGACTTTTTTCCGAACGCTGGAAATTCCCAGGCCGAAAAGGTACCAACCCGAGTCCCGGACATTCCCCGCGAGGGCTGTCTCCAAGACCCGGACTGGAGCCGCACGGAGTACTGAGCGGCCCCCCATTGCTGTTTTCAGGAGGCCTGTCCCAGTGTCCCGGGAATCTAGGGCATTAGGCCTCCTCACTAGAGTCGCCTCTATGATTTTCACTTTTTCACTGTGGCCTCTTAGGCGTGGAAATGGCATGGTATGGAGGATTACTTCCCGCAGCTGAGTTTTGTGAGCATGGCAATCAGAAAGTGGCGTCTCTGTGGTGTGTTCGTAAGATTCAACTTAAGTGAAGCAGGGCCCGTTAGCGGGATGGCTGCTGGGACAGGCGATGGGGGAAGTCGGCATAACTGAGCCAGCCGTTGCACAAGACTGAAGGGGTTTCTCCTGACACCCAGTTTCGCTGTTGGGTTTTTGGAACACTATAGTGGTTTCAGGTCTGTCCTTTTCTTCTTTGCTTTCATCATCTCCAGGCATTCGTTGTTACAGTCTAGTTTTTGTGACTGCATAGGAAACACCCCCCTGTCCTATTGGGGCAGCAAGAATGTTCATCTGCATCATCAGTTCAGATCCTTAAAGCTCAAGAGGCCTGACTAGCTCTCGTTTGATTAAAAATAGTAATAATTAAGAGAATTCTGTATCTCTGCAATGCCTCTGGGGATAGCATTTTTTTTTTTTTTTTTAAAGATAAATATCCTAAAATGAGTTCCTGGCAGTTCTCTCCCAGAGAAGCCCACACCAAACGTTGTGCCTCTTTTTTCTGAGCACTTCTTTTTTTCTTTTAATCCTCATGCTTAAAATCTATATTTAAAATGCCGTTTAATACATTTTTTTTTTAATTTAAAGTGCATTTGAAAGGTTGAGTTGAGCTGAACTGATGGAGCACATTTTTTGCTCCCCTGGTTTCTGTGTTTTACACTTCCGCCTCAACAGCTCTCTGGCGCTCCACTGCCTCCCATCTGGTTCTGGATCCTAAGTGCCCCCCACCCCCCAGCATCTGGAAACGCTGCAGACCCACTTTGAAGGAGGAAACAGCAATCCGAATTCATTTTCATTGCCCACGAGTGTAGCAGGTTTTCTGAGTGCACTGGGCCTGCATGGTGGAATAAACTCTCAATGCTAAGGGGCTGTGTAGAAAAAGTGAAGCCTCTTTTATCTCCCTGGAGGGCTTCTTTCCCTGTCCTTCTCAATGACTGTCATTTTATTCACCTGGGTCCAAGAACAGAAGACTCACTTTTTTTTTTTTTTTAACATCCCTACTGTGGTTTTCCCTCCCTCCCCTCCTCCCTGTCCCACCCACCTCCCATCCGCTTCTTCTCCATTTCTCTTCCGAAAAGAGCAAGCCTCCCATGGGTAGTAACCAGCTGTGCATGACACATCAAGGCCGAAGTAAGACTAGGCACCTCCCCTCCTATTGAGGCAAGATGAGGTTACCCAGTAGGAGGAAAGGGTCTCAAAGGCAGGCAACAGAGTCAGAGACATCCCCTGCTCCCACTGCTAGGAGTCCCACAAGAAGACCAAGCTACATATGTGCAGAGGACCTAGGTCAGTTCCACGGAAGCTCTCTGGTTGACAGTTCAGTCCAGGAGACTGACTTCTACTTGTATCACATGAATATGTAAAGGCTTACCGTGGCTCTCCTCTTCCCTGGAGGCCTGTTGGCCACCAGTCCACTAGGGCAGGAGGAACCGAGGCGGGTTGTACAGTGATAGAATAGCTTCCAGGTCAGCTGCAGGGAGGCAGGTGTGAGGGGAATATATAGAAAAAGGGGAGCAGCCAGGAAGCACTCTGACAGGAATTCACAGCGTTCTTCCTGTACATTAAACAGCACAGCCCTGTTGCCTGTATGTAGAGGCACAGTACCTAATTATCCTATAGGTGCAGGGAGGGGAGAGCTAGCAGGGAACTGTGCCAAAAGCCATGTATCAGATGTGGTTAGAGGCATCTATGCCTAAAGACATCTCCAGATGAGGTCAGGCACAGAGTAGGAGGCCCTGTAGGGGAGAGAGAGAGTCTTCCTCCTAGGGCAGAGCTCAGGAAGGCTATGTGGCCATCCAAATTAGAAGGACTGCAACCTCAAACAGCAGGATCCTCCATCAGCTTACCATAATTTGTTCTTACCCAGGACTCGGATTTATCAGGCTGAAACTTATTATCTCTAGCCAGGAAAGTCTGCCAAGGAGGTATTAATATTAATGTTTTTTTTCTTTTTTCTGAATGGTAAAGTGGTTCCCACACATTGGAATACCTAAGGGCTGGTCTCTGTCTGCTGACTTATTTTTAATTGCAAGTATACATGTGGAGGAGTATGTGCAAGTGAGGGGTGGAGCCCACAGAGACTAGAGGAGGGGCTAGATCTCGTGGGCTGCTGTGAGCCTCCTGATAGGGATACCGAGAACCAAACTTTGGCTCCCCTGCAAGAGCAGCATGTTTTCTTAACTGCTGAACCATTTCTACAACTCTGAAAAAGGTATAGCTGTGGCTATCCTAGAATTCACTCTGCAGACCAGGCTGGTCTTGAACTCAGAGATCCGCCTGCCTCTGCCTCCGGTGTGCTGGAATTAAATGTGTGCACCACCACTGCCCAGCTTGAGAAAGGAGAATGTTCTTAGTATGGGCGTTTTCTTTCGCAACACCAGCAAATCAATCACTTCAGCTCAGCAGTATGAGTCACTTCAAATATAAATTCTTAGCTTTGTTTGTATATGTGTGAGTGTTTTGCTTCTGTGTATGCATATATACACCACACGCATGCAGTGCCCACAGAGGCTAGAGGGGTCAGAATGGACCCACACATACACAACTGGAGTTACAGGTGGTTGTGAGCCACAGTGTGAGCGCTGGGAATCAAACTCTGCCTGAGCAGCAAGTGCTCGGGACTGCTGCTCCCTCTCCCCAGCCCCAGAAATTCATAAACCACCTCAACGAAATTGTATATAAACCAGTTTTAATATTTTATTACAAGCCCAAACATCCAACCAGAGCGGCCAACTGACATAAGAAAATTGGTACTAGATAGTACAATTTTAGGCAGACATTTATAATTATTAAGGCTATTTGACATATAAAAATATTTAAACTTCAGGTTAAATTTTTTAAAGGTCCAAATTACATGTTCTTTGTGATTCTAACTCCAGGATTTGGGTGCTAGGATTAATTAATCATAATCTGTTGATGCTCAAATACTGTAGAGAAAATGGCATAGTATTTGTGTATAAGAAGAAACATCCTCCAATATACTTCAAATCATCTCTAGGCTACTTACCATACCTAATAATATGTAAATGTTATGCAAATAGATTTTATGCCTTATTATTACATGGAGGACACAAAAAGTCTGTATACATTTAGTACAGATGCAATATTCTCCCAAATATCTTTATTTGGCTGAAGTTGGCTGAAGCTGGTGATATGGAAGGAATCTAGAGATAAAGAGGATAAAGAGCATGTGATTTAAAAAAAAAGAAAGAAAACCTATCAAAAGTCTAATGTTCATTGTACTTGATTGGAGTGTATCCTTAATTAAACACTCAGTTTTTTTTTTAATATGATTCCCTTTGTATTTATTATGAGAAATCTATATTTAAACATTTTTATATGACATGCTGACATTCACAAGTATGTGGGACTAACTAACCTATAATAAACTTTTCATAAGTTTGAGAAGCCCTTATCTAAAGCCCATGAGACAAGAACTGTTAGATTTTAAATTATTTTAAGTTTGGAAATATTTGTATATGTTTATGTGTCGCGCGCGGCCTTTGCCGATAAGGACGACGCAACAACCGAGGAT